CTATAATTAGTATTTATTCATATATTATATTTTAAAATCAAAGAACTACTAATCAGGATATAATTAAAGAAATAAGAGTTCCTGTTGCTTTTAAAATATTTCATCAATTTCTCTAAAGGAAACACTATTTACAGATTTGCATCGAAGCGTTTCTTATGATAGTGATTTTAATCACTGTCAGATATCATCTATACTTGTCCCATCTATGCCTCGTCCACACTGTGCCTCGACCCCACTGTGCTACCGTTTTTTTTATTATCTTTAGTTACACATTATTCTTGAATTTTTAACTATTTTATACTTTTTAAGTTCATCCCTTATGCCTTGGAGGGGGGTAAACTTTGTTTTTTTAAATGGTAACACATATTTTTAATTTAATAAAATGTTTGAGTTTTTAATTTAATAGTAAATGGCATTTGAATTTTTAATATAACTTTATTAGCTTATTAGATATAAACATTTAAAGTTTCAAAATTTTGAGTTAATATACATGTATAATACACATGGGATTGTAAATACAGGTAGCTAATTGGATTTTTATGACATTGCTGTCTCAGTCACGGATTGTTTATTATCAATTATGATTATCAATAGATATATTTTCTCTATTGTCAGTTAGTGTATTTATATACTCATATCGTTATGTCTTACTACAATTGATAATAACAACGCTGTGTACCTGCTAATATCGATGTTATAAAAAACCAATTAGCTACCTGTATTTGTAATCCCTTGTGTATTATACCTGTATATTAATTCAAAAATTTGAAACTTTAAATGATTATATCTAATAAACGAATTAAGTTATATTAAAAATTCAAATGCCATTTACTATTAAATTAAAAACTCAAACATTTTATTAAATTAAAAATATGTGTTACCATTTAAAAAAACAAAGTTGACCCCCTTCCAAGGCATAAGAGATGAACTTAAAAAGTATTACATAGTTAAAAATTCAAGAATAATGTGTAACTAAAGATAATGAAAAAAAAAAATGTTTAAATAATTATTATTCTGCAAGTAATTGAGTGGGTTATGATAAAAAAATCACCCTATATAACGAAATATTAACGACAAATTAAATTTCACTTGTGTGTCCGGTAATCATATCTGATGGGTGTAACACCTCGCCTAAGTGATGGCAATCCTTGCTATCGTAACTAGTCGTTATACAAGCGGCGAACCACATTGTTGTTGCAGGCCGACAAAAAGCACATTTGCATCCTAGATTAGATTCATTTAACTATTTTGAAAATCGGTGATTCAATCGTGATCTTCCCTTTTAAGTTGTATATTTTTCAAAACTTTGTGCCATATCTTTTCATATTTATTTTATTATACATTTATTTAAAATAATAATGATTTATTTTTCATATTTTTTTTAATAGTTTTAAGTTTTTAACTATTTGAAATAGTAACATATCCTTGGGCCATAATCAACTAATACTTGTAATTTAAACAAAATTTACTATACATTTTCGGGTTTAATTTATAATATACATTAAATGTATATTAGTGGCTATATTATTATATTAATAAATATAGAGAAATAGTCTTATACAATTTAATGTAATTTTAATTACAATGTAATTTGTTTAATTAGCTACTTCTCATTTTCGACTTTCGATATTGTCGTAACACAATATGGGGTAAGGTGTAAATGTAATGTGTACGAAGATGAAGATGAGGATGTGGTGCCTGCTCTCTAGGTATTCACGAGTGTGTTGCCATACAGCAGTCACCGTGCTCGGCTGACACTCCGGGTTAGCTGTGGGTGTCGAAAGGCTGTTGTTATAGGAAGGGAATAAGGGTAACACCTAGGTATGAGGTGCAGACGAAGTGCAAGACATAAATACTTTGGGTATAGCAGAGGACAAAGAACAGGGATACCAAAGACTTTACTTTATGCAGTAAGCCGGAAAGCGACAACCGAGTACTGAGACTGATGAATGACACGAAGCACTGGAGTCGACTGACCACGATGGTCAGGTCTTTTGGGTTTTTATAATAATTTGAACTATTGCCAATTTGGCAATAAATATTATTTGTTAATTCATCAGTCTCAGGAAGCGGAAGTGCTGTCTGTAGTTTATTAAAATAATTCTCACAATAATGGTAACGTGACACAATCACAATATCTTAGATAGCGAAAGTAACTATAAGTCATCACTTTATATACATTTTATATTTAAAATACAATTTATTTTCTCATTTTGAATACTCTCTTTCAGTTTTGATTATCTTTAAATTATTGTAATAAGAAATAAATTGTCACAGGTTAGACAGTTTGCTGTTGAAATGATAGTGAACTGTAGAACTTCCGATGAAGTTAAAGTGATATTAAAAAATTCTAATGGATGTTCTTTCAAAAGTGATTTCATCTATCCAAGATTAATAACAGCTATGGATTACAAACAAAAGGAATTTGTAGCGCATACAACAATTCAACAAGTCTTAGAGTCTGCATGGATTGGTGACTGGATTGAGTGGAAAGGATATTCTTTCCAAAGAAAATGCCTGTATCCCTTCCAACGTCTTATTTGTATGCCACTTACTGTTTTAAAAGGTTTAAGCTCAAATTATTTAAATACAAATCAATTGCAAAACGAATTACCAATCAACCGAATGTTTGACAATTTAGTTATGTACACTGTATTTTTAATATTATTATTTTACCAATCAAATTTGGATAAGTTTGATATGCATCGTGGAGCTCCAGATACTACAATAAAGTGGTTTATTGTTTTATTTGTTTTAAGTTATATTGCAGAAACATTGAATTTAAGAATGCTACAAGGACCTAAGAGATATTTCAAAGACCTTTGGAATATTTTTGACGCAATTAAATTATTATTATTCATTATGTCATTTGCTTTCTGGATTTTCGCGGAAATTCAAGCTAGCTGGGTTGACCCAAACTTAGATAGAAAATATTGGCCCTGGTATGATCCACAACTTCTAGGAGAAGCTCTTTTTGCGTTAGGAACGGTTATGGCATTCATGAGACTTTTGTTTCTTTGCCATTTAAACTACTACATAGGTCCAATGCAAATTTCTTTAGGAAAAGTTTTGAACGATTTTTCTAAATTTATGACATTTCTAATTATAATTATAGTAGCTTTTACTACTGGATTGGGGACACTCTATAGTTATTACTTAGGTATGTCTCAAAAAGATCAAGAAACAGAAAAAATGTCTGTACAAGAGGATTCGTTTATTTCAATATCTAATACATTTAAAACCTTGTTCTGGGGCATATTTTGCATGACTTCACTTGAAGCGCCTGAAGTTGTCTTAGCAAATGATGATAATAATGATGTACGTCAACATTATTTTACACAATTCGTCGGATACATGTTATTTGCTGTATTTGAAGTACTTATGGTAATAGTAATGATTAATATGCTTATAGCTGCTATGTCAGACACTTTTCAGCGAGTAGTGGATAACGCAGAATATGAATGGTTATTTGGACGCACTAAAGTGTATGTTAATTATATGCTGATAGATAATTTACCTCCACCATTTAATCTTTTATCATTTATACGATTTTTAATTCAAAAGTTATGGTCCCAAGAAAATAAAAATATTAATGCTGAAAATGAAAATCTTATCAATAATGAAGAGCATAAATTTCAACAGTTAATCAAAGAGCTGGTTCAACGTTATTTTATGCAGCAAGCTTAGTTAATTTATAATAATAATTAAATGTTATCATAATCACAATATTCATTGTTATTCTTTCATTTTAAAAATTAATACTATTGAAATATAATATGCTCTTATTTATATGTATAGATGATAACCATGTGATATAATTATTAATTATTTATGTATATACATAGCACCTTATCATAAATTAGCAAACCCAGTTTTTGCAAATTTTGTATACAGGGTGATTTTTTTATCATAACCCACTCAATTACTTACAGAATAATAATAATTTAAACATTTTTTTTTATTATNTTTTTAATGAATAAGGTATAAAATACTCAAAAATATTATATCCTCTTGGTTAGCTATTTTAAAAATTTTCACTTTTTAAATAAATTATTCAAACAATTTAAATGATACACGTATTAACGTGTATTACGTATTACGTATTAAATCGAATGGATGCGATTATAGCAAGATATTTAATTATTTTGTATTATTATTTATTTTATATAAGATATTTTTTTCAAATTAAAGGATATTACATAAGCTTCAATTTAAGATATATATAAAAGTGTCAGACATTCCGGAACATTTTCAAAAGTTAAGTTGAAAAAGTTCTACTTTCTATATGCATTTTTTATATTTGAAGCCCCCCCATATATAGGGAAATAATCTGATTTAAAAATTTTTTTTTCAATTTTGAAGGGTAATGTCTTCGACTAGATACGATTTGTGATCTTTTGACGTATCGTTGAAAGAAATCCTTTCGGTGAGAGCTGAGAAAAAGTGGTAACAGACTTAAATAAATTATTCAAACAATTTAAATGACACATATACGTATTAAATCGAATGGATGCGATTATAGCAAGATATTTAATTATTTTGTATTATTATTTATTTTATATAAGATATTTTGTTTACAAAAAAAATCAAAGTTTTAGAACGGTTAATTAAGACTTTTGTTTGAAAAAATTGTCATTATGAGTTTCCCCTCTAATCAGGTAAAGGGTCAGATTAATAAAAAAAAATACTAAATGATAGGTAGACATCATGCATCTATAAAAAAAAAAATTATATTAATCCATAAATTTTTTAAAAAGTTATAGTACTTTAAAGTAAAAATATAAAATATAAAATCGAGAATTTTCACACAAAAATAGCATTTGGTCGTCAGCCATTTTCACCACGAAGACAAGTCCAGAGGTAAATTTTTTTATTACCATAATAAATTAAATTACATTAGCTTTAATTTAAGATATATATAAAAGTGTCAGACTTTCCGGAACACTTTCAAAAGTTAAGTTTAAATAGTTTATTTATTGTTAAAAAGTTGAAATATTAAATGCTCCCCTGTAGGCAGGTAAAGGGTTAAATTTATAAAAAAAAATTTATAAAAATAAAATTAATTACATTCTTATTAAGAAATAAAGAAAAAAAAACCCAGCATAAGGGGGTCGCGGCACAGTCATGAGGTGGCATAGTTGAGTCAAGTATAATGATATCTGACAGTGATTAAAATCACTATAAAAAAAAACGCTTCGATGCAAATCTTTAGATGGTGTTTAAAAAAAATGGTGGATTATTCCAAAAGCTACATGATCTGCTATTTCCTTATTAATATCCTGTTTAAGATAAAGAATATGACGAATGAAAAAGGGATTATTAAAAAATATTATTTCTCATAAAAAATTTTGTTGATCCATACACTTTTCAATAAGTTATAGCATTATAAAGTTAAAAATGTAAAAAATAAAATCGAGAATTTTCACACAAAAATAGCATTCGACAGCCATTTTCATCGTGAAGACAAAATAAAGTCCGAAATTTTTTTTTTCCATAATAAAGTATCTTACATTACCTTTAATTTAATATTTATATATAAAAGTGTCAGACTTTCCGGAACCCTTTCAAAAGTTAAGTAAAAATTTAAGTAAAATTAACGTTTTTTTTATTTGTATTTTTTTTAAGGTTTCCCCTACTGACGGCGAACGAGGGAAATTTATTTCAATTTTTTAGGATAATGTCTTCGACTAAATACGATTTTTAATCTTTTTATGTATCGTTGAAAGAAATAGAGGTATTAAACAAAAAAAAAAAAAAAAATCATAGTAAAACCTTCTCAGCTTCGCATCGAAGCTAAAATAGTATTATATTTAATAAAAAAGTTGTTAAATNAATACGATTTTTAATCTTTTTATGTATCGTTGAAAGAAATAGAGGTATTAGACAAAAAAAAACATCATAGTAAAATAGGACAATAAATATTGTGTTCGCAAAAATTAAAGATTTCATGAATACGACAACAAAAAAAAATTAAATTTGTCAAAACTATAGAGTAAATAGTTCCCCTATTTACTTTATTTCCCCAGTAATTCTTAAAAAATTACACTATGTTAATATTTATTTTACTTTCATAGCTTAAAAATAAATCCACTAATGGATAACAATCATTTTTTATTGCCAAGTGTAATGGAGTTATTCCTTGGTAATTCTTCTTATTTAAATCTATTTGGTTACTTTCAAGAAATAATTTAACAGCTGGCACATTACAGCGATCCACTATGTTAAAAAACTCATTTTCTTTATTAGATAATTCTTCCATTATCAAATCCCGACGTCTAGTCATTCTTAATTTAAATTTTTTCTAAAAAATATTAAATCAATTGATTTAAGTTATTTGGTGGCTTACTTTCTATAACATCTGTGATAGTCTATATTAATATTAATACAAGATAAAAGAAATGACAAATCTAATAACTTTAAATACAATGATCATTTTGATGAAAGATTATTTTTATATAATTATTACCAACTTAGACTACGTTCAAAGTATAAAAATATTACCCCTATTCTCACCATTTTAAATATTCAAATACTTATATTTTATAAAATTATAATTCAAAATTGGTTATCGTAGATGACTCTATAGTCTCCCGGTATAAAGTCATTCAATCTTATTCCATTTATCTTTAAAATATCTATTTTGAGTAGTTTCATCTCAACTTTACGATTTTTTAGTTTTCCAGTTTGTTATAGGTCCTCTCATTAACTTTGATGATCAATAGATAACGCTGGATTAATGTCCCAGTCTAGTACGTTTTCAGATGTTGTAACAGTAGGAGATAACGAAATATTACTTTTAACGTTTTCTGAGAATTGAGTCGTATTCGTGTGGGAACATTGATACCGTTTTTTGCTACGTCTTGTTTAACGCTACGTGTTTTAAATTTGCTTTTTCGTTCGGATGTCGGAGAGGTAGTAAAATCACGTTTAATTATTCTATGTTGCAAGATATTTTTTCTAATGGATAAAATATTAAATTCATTAATTTGAATAATACTACGAAATGTGCGAACTAATTTAGCATTTGGATTGTAAACTAAGGGTGTCCAATGACAATTTGAAAACAAAACCACTACAAATGATTTTTTAGGGTTTGTAAAGTGTAATACAGAATTAATATTATTGTCTTCTATTATAATTATTAAGCCTAAACCAAAAGAGCAAACAGTAAAACCAAACAGCAATTGACATTCCAGAAAAAATTATAATATTAATAATAAAAAATTTTACTTAAATAATCTAAATGTAACTCGTGTACACTTTAGGGGAATCGACTTCGTATATGAGTGCCTTAAAAAAATGAAAGTATATCTCGGAACTCGATTAAAATACAAAGACCGGCGCCTCCACCATATGTTAGGGGCTTGTTTAATAGTTGAGGATCTTAGTCAAAACTAAGAATCGGAAGCTACCCGACGTCTGCCCAAATATCGTCCCTATCTCCTTAAATGAGTTTTAATTGCCTGAAGGAGACACAGGCAATTGTGTACCTTAGTTACAGGGGATAGATTATTAAATAAAATTAGACTATTGTTTTATGTCAACGACAAAGTAAAGTTATATTTTAGATGTTTAGTAAATATAAGTTATATGTAATGTACAATACGTCTGACCTGAATCCTAGTACAGTTGGTTAGTAGGTATATCCAAGTGAGACGGAGTTGGTTGGCTATGATGACAATTGGCGATAGACGGGTCGTTGAATAAAACAAGTTAAGTTATAAATAATATAAATAAGACGTAAGTAATAATATTGAAAACTATGTCTATAACGGCCACTCAAACACAACTGCCCTTTGTTAGTTCGACGTCAGTAGCTCCGGGCTACAGACGAGTAGAATTGTCACATCAGCATCTCCCTCTATGCTAATTAATATGTATTACGAATTAAATAAATAGAAATAAAACGTGTGTAATATAAGTGTTAACAACATAGTAATAAATGTTCTTACAATTTGTCCACAGGGGGGGATTTAAAATGACACCTTTACACAAAAAATTTACTTTTATACTTAACTTTTTAAAGTGTTCCGGAAAGTCTGACACTTTTATACATATATCTTAAATTAAAGGTAATGTAATATACCTTATTATGTAAAAAAAAAATTTCGGACTTTATTTTGTCTTCACAGTGAAAATAAACATCAAAGTTAATAAAAAAAATACGATTTTTGTTAAAAATTCTTTTTTATATTTTTAATTTTATAATGCTATAACTTTTTGGAAAATGAATGGATCAATCAATTCTTTTTTTTTTTATAGATGCTTAATGTCTTTACCTATCATTTGGTATATTTTTTTATTTTTCTGATCCTTTATTTGTCCACAAGGGGGGATTTAAAATGACACCTTTACACAAAAAATTTACTTTTATTCTTAACTTTTTAAAGTATTCCGGAAAGTCTGACACTTTTATACATATATCTTAAATTAAAGATAATGTAATGTACTTTATTATGAAAAATAACCCAGCTCAGTGGGGTCGCAGCAAGTGGGGACTTAAAATCACTATCATAAGAAACGCTTCGATGCAAATCTATAGATAGTGTTTAATTCTAAGAAATTGGTGGATAATTACAAAAGCAACATCAACTTATATTTCCTTAAATATATCCAGATTAGTAATTCTTTTACTTATACATTGTATAATTTTTATAATTAATTGTTTTCAAATTATTATTGCTTTTTAATATAAGCAACTTGTTATTTGATTAACGGATTTTTTTTCAATTTTTGTGGGTAATATTTTCAACTAAATACAAATTGTAATCATTTGATTTATCGTTGAAAAATGTAGGTTAAGTGAGAGTTAGAAAAATAAATCGCGGCATCAAAAAAAACACTTAGTAAAATGATACTTACATGAAAATTTCTTTTCACGAGGGGACTATAGTGATGGGATCCTTGATATTTATTGAAGTTATTGAAGCTTAATAAGATAAAAATCAAATGATTTGAACGTGTTTTAAACTCAAAAAAAAATTGCAAAATATTAATTGCCACATCGTACCTCGTTAGTGTGAAAGACAAGTGTTACCGATTCGGCAACTGTTCGTCGATTTCGTCGCATTATAAAATTAACACTTTAAGCTAAGTCAAATTTAAAAGTTATATTTTCGACTTTATAAAAGCAAAAAAGTTTAAATAAGTTTAATTTCTTATGTCTTATGAACTTTATTCTATGTCAATTAAATTATATAATATTTATGAAAGTCAGTGTATTGCCCTTATAAGATATTTAAAAAAAAAATAAAATACAAAACCCAGGATTTTAACAGAAAAATAGCATATTTTTGAATACGGTAGCCATTTGCGCATAGTAGAGAGGTCGTCGGGACAAATTTTTTTTTTCATTTTACAGTACAAGACATAAGCTTTAATTTGACATATGTTGAAAGGACGTAGTAAAAAGTAGCTATTTAAAATCCCCCCCAGTGAGTAGGTTAAGTGTTAGATTTTCAAAAAAATAATATAAAATGAAAGGGAAATATCTAAGGTTTTAGTAGAAAAAAAATTTATGTTGATTTGTTTATTTTTCAAAAAGTTATGGAAGTTTTATGAAAAAAAAGTGATAAAATGACAAAATTTACCGATTTTAAAATTTGTAATTTTTTTTTGATATTTCCCTCATTTTCGGGAAACGAGGGAATTTTTTTCAATTTTTAAGGATAATTTCTCCAACTAGATATGATTTGTGATCTTTTGACGTACTTTTGAAAGAAATCGGTCCAGCGAGTGCTGAGAAAAAGTGACAACAGACATAAAAAAAAAAAACACATCATGATAAAATTAATACCTTCTCAGCTTCCCATGGAAGCTAAAAATATTCCGGACTTTATTTCACGATGACAGGTACTTTTTAAAAGAGATATTTTTATTTTCGATAAAATTTTTTTAAGAGAGTTAACAAAGGAAAACACGAGGTAGGTGAAACAAGGAGATCAGTGACAATAGACGAGGACGTGATTGGAGAGGTGAAAAAATTTATGTATTTAGAGTCAGTTGTTCAAAAGAGCGGTGGTATTGACGATGATGTAAGACACAGGATTAAGTGCGGGTGGTTGAAGTGGAGAAAAGCGTCTGGCGTCTTATGCGATAAAAGAATTCCAATAAGGCTGAAAGGTAAATTTTACAAGACTATAGTGAGGCCAGCTATGATGTATGGTTCAATTTGTTGGGCGATTGACAAGAAAATAGTGTAGAGAATGTGTGTAACAGAGATGAAAATACTTAGATGGATGAGTGAATTGACTAGAGAAGATAGGATAAGGAACGAGTATATAAGAGGTAATATAGGTGTAGCGCAATAATGGATAAGATGAGAGAAAATAGACTTAGCTAAACCATATAAATATGACCAAACCGGGCATGTTATGTAGTATCACATTTTAATACATGTAATAATTAATACTTATATTTAATAAAATATATCACCAAATCAGTGTTTCCCCGTGGATAAGATGAGTAATAAAATAATACCCTTATACAAGATTTAACCTCCCTCTTACGCATTCCATAAAATGCCCACGTAAAAGATTCTATCACATTAACCAATCAAATACAGCAAAAAATATTTCAAGAATCTCACCAGAGATCGCTAAACCAGTTTTGCAGGCTATAAAAAGGCCATTTTCCCCCAAATTCGGATGGTTCCTCTGTGCTTGGTTCTCTTACAGTGGTTATGTACGATTTCTGAACATCCCTCTAGCGGACACTGGGACGCCTTGCCATTCTATCTATGCATCTCTACGGCTCTCTGGAATACTCAACCAAGATACAAAAAGTGAATGTGCGTGAGTTTATGTCTCATTCTTAGTTACAATTCTATATGAAATTTATATAATTTTTACCCTCTTTCGTAATTACTGAAAAATATTATACATCTTATTTTCGGTCGAATACTTTTGGTGATATAAATATTCTAACACATATAAAATATTGGTGTTTATTTATTTCTTTTTATTTATATTTATATTCATATATATATAAGCATATTCCAAGGTAATTAATTTGATTGAATTGTATTTATTACTTATTGAAGGGCCACAACCTGGCTGGACAGGGTAATAGTACAATAATATCATAATTAGAATTTTAGTTAACCATAAGATTTATTCATAGTGTCTCTCCACTTATCGACTAGCTAGTCTGATCTCTGCCACGGTGCGGGCAATCGGAGTGTAGGACACTAACATAACTTATCGTGCATAAATCTATAGTACAGTCGCATCTAACCTAGGTCGTCCTACAGGTGATTGAAAAGAAGTAGGCCACATATCATAAGGTTCTTTGCATAAAGACAAAGATATTATTTGAGATCTCGCGTTGGTATATCCAGCTACGAAATACAAATAAATCAGAGTCGAAATATTATACTAAAAACTAATATTTTACTAATATATATTTATAACTAACATCATACTAAACAACTAAAAGTGTCTCTCCACTTATCGACCAGCTAGTCTGATCTATGCCACAGTGCCGGTGATCGGAGTGTAGGACACTAGTATAATCTATTGTGCAAAGAACTGAAATTGAGCTCGCATCTACCCTAGATCACCATTTGGACGACTGAAAAGACGTAGGCCACTTGGAAATAGTTTTGTTGCACAGGACAGTTATGTTGCTTAGAAGTTATTCATTTGCTTTATAAATTATTAAATAATAAATATATTAACGTAAAACATCATATACAAGGTTAAGAACTATACTACATAAATATACAAAAGGTTTTTGCAAAAAGACAGAGTTATAACAAACTTAGATTTCACCTTGGGTAGATTTAATATAGAATTGTACTAGAAAAGTAGTTACACGCGAGTTAATAATAATATAAACCGTATAAATATAATTGCGTACATTAATGCGTGAACGTATACATCGATAATTGTTACATCAACAACATCGTTCATCTCAAGAGAATATCAGGATAATCAGAGGTAAGTGGAACATTTGTTTACATAATAAGTCTATAATAGATCCTTTACTGAAGAATTTTTTAGTAATAAACAATTAGAATAGGATAAGTCATTAAGAATAAACTGAAATATTTTTATAAAAGGCACGATATTTGTGAATCGCCGGGAATTTGTGTGCGCGTTTCTGTGCAGGAGCTAGGTAGTGACCCTTCTTTGTAATTCCATCTTATTCATACATTAGACGTTTTTACACAAGCATACATACCCCGAGATCCCTTTCTATTTCATTTTATTGTAGTCACTACCGGGTATCTATAGACACTTTTGCTTTCCATTGGTACCCATCCTTTTTACACTACGCCTGCTACGATTATTATTTCCTTATTGGCCACCTGTGTTACATTTCAATACATTCCTTCCCTTTCACACCCCGAGCCCCAAACACATTTAACAACATTCCTTCGCCACCTTATTATAACCATTTTATTTATTACAAGACTACCTACATACCCACTCTCTTGTCTTCTTTTTGTTTATTACAGTTATGAGGAGAGAAGAATTAGCAATTATCTTAACACGTTCACTGCGGATGACATTAATCATTTGGTGAAGGACATGCGGTAATTGGTTTGTTCATTATATGCGAAAGACGCCAATTGGCGTCATTTCTACATTATTTTTCAATCTATTATATTTTAAGCTGCGTGAGGCTCTTATCTTTTAGCGTCGAGGCAGAGCTGAGAAGGTATAAGTTATTATGATTAGTAACTCAGTTACTTAGTAGTTTAAAACATAACAATGCATATAGAAAGTAGAACTTTTTCAACTTAATTTTTGAAAGTGTTCCGGAAATACTGACACTTTTACATATATCTTAAATTAAAGCTTATGTAATATACTTTAATATTAAAAAAAAAAATTTCGGACTTTATTTTGTCTTCACGATGAAAATGGCTGTCGAATGCTATTTTTGTGTGAAAATTCTCGATTTTATTTTTTACATTTTTAACTTTATAATGCTATAACTTATTGAAAAGTGTATGGATCAGCAAAATTTTTTATGAGAAATAATATTTTTTAATAATCCCTTTTTCATTCGTCATATTCTTTATCTTAAACAGGATATTAATAAGGAAATAGCAGATCATGTAGCTTTTGGAATAATCCACCATTTTTTTTAAACACCATCTAAAGATTTGCATCGAAGCGTTTTTTTTTATAGTGATTTTAATCACTGTCAGATATCATTATACTTGACTCAACTATGCCACCTCATGACTGTGCCGCGACCCCCTTATGCTGGGTTTTTTTTTCTTTATTTCTTAATAAGAATGTAATTAATTTTTTTAAACATTAAATATATACTTTTTTCTATAACAACAGTTGCTTATTATTTTTTTCGATGCAAAATAAACATTTTAAATAATATTTTATAGATTTTTGTATGTGTTCTCTTACATGTTTAAAAACAAGCACACGCTAATAGTAAGTTTTAACTTAAGAAACATTTTCCTTTTTATGTATTCATATCAAAAATCATCAAAATCATTTTGTCCTTGTCAAAATATCAAATAATGCCACTTCACAAGTCTTTTAGAACTAGTGCATCAAGTACAAGATCTCGTGGAATTAAAATAAACAATTCCAACGATTCATTTATAGATCGCCAGGAATCGGATAACACAGTTATTAAAAACAATTTTGCCTCTTCGTATATGGCAACTTGTAAAAAGAATAATACTCGACCATTACAGTATATAAAAATAAATGAAAAAAAATCTTTGGTTGAAATTTCTGGTGATCGCATGAAATCCGATGATTGGAAAGATGTTATGGAAGCACTTAGTACTGATACAACTACTCATCACGTTCTCATAAAAAACAGACGTCATTCACACAACAGTGTTACAAGTTATAGAACTTTTAGTGTATCATTGCTACCCAAGTTTGTATATTGTTATGTTTTTTCTATATTAATGATAAATATATAAAAACGTAATATTTTTAAATGTTTTATAAAAATATCATAGTTTAAAAACAAATATTCAGTTATACATCTAGCAATTAAAGAAGATAAATTTTTAAAATAAATGAATATATAAATAAATACAGCACTAAAGTTTATTATTCTATAATTAAGAGTTTTTATCTATTACTTCAAATCACATCAGAATCATTAATTTTAAGCATTATTTTCCATAATATTAAATTAAGTACAGTAATTGAATTGTAAATTTTATAAGTGTTTTTTAGCTCTTTTATCGTTAATCTAACTATTTGACAAAATTTAAAAAAATGATATACCTTATTTTCCAGGAGTATTTCAACTTGTTCAAATGTTCTAGATGTAACAAATATCATTGCAAATTCTCTTCATCAAATGTTGGTTAAATCGCTCGCAATCACATGTTTAGAATTACAAAATATTCTATTTACTACTGATGCTCTTGAAGTTCTTATAATTGGAATAAAAAATAATGAAAATCTTCAACATTTATCTTTAGCTTATTGTCGTATTAGTGATAATGAGTGTATATCACTTTGTAGAATATTGAAAGATAAACCAAATTTACGGTCATTAGATCTTACTGGATGTTCTTTAAGCCCTTTAGCAGCCGAATTAGGCCTACAAGTATTGATTAAAAAACAACAGATGAAAAGACACGAAGAATGTTGGATACATTCATTACGATCAAGATATGCTAATCCAGATGTAATGCATGGGATACGCAGGTTAACGTTAAATAATAACTCAACACTGGGCGACTATGGAGCAACATTCCTACTAGAAATATTAAAAGATGATTTTTATGTAAAAGCTTTAGACATACAAAATTGTGGTTTATCTGATCATGGAGCTCAAATGGCGTTATCCACTTTAATGGTCAACAACACTTTAGTTATCCTAGATTTGAGAAAAAATATAAACATATCAACTTCAATGTTAGAAAAAATAATGTCAAGATTATATGAGAACAATATCAATAAGGAAGACATGAAAAAATGGAAATGGACTAAATTGGGATCAGAAAGTGCATCAAAATATTCAAGTTCATTTGTTTAATATTTATTATAATATATTGCTTACAAGAGTATTATATTTTCTTGCATTCTTACAAAAATAATTTAAATTAAATAAATATTTTGTATTTTCGTGTATTCAGTATTTATTTGAATTATATAGGATAATGCATAGAAATTTTTTTATTTATTTTTATGGTTATTTTTTTTTATTAATTTAATGTATGGAATATATAAAATTAAAGAAAAATTTCCAAAATACTTCATGAGTGTATTTTCAAGTGCTTTAATAATAATAACTAAAAATTTAAAAAAGTAAAAGAATACATATTAAAATAAAAAATAATTTATAACATTTAACGAGTATTATTGGTAAAATAACTTTTTTAAGGCAGTTGCGAAAGTGTAAAAATTTGGCCTAAATTCAAAAAATATGAAAGGCCCAATTTTAATTTGGTTGGAATAGAAAATATTGTAAATCTATCAAAATGTTAGTATTAGTCAGTGTTTATAAAATTCCTTTTATAAAGTAATGCATTCCAATTTCCATTCAGCAGCTAAAAAATGTATTTCCATCTACAATTCCTAAAAAAAAAAACGTGTTGCACTCTAGGACTTCCGCGGTAAAGCTATTGCATAGCATTTTTATCAACTTAGGCAATTATAATATTTATGCAATGTAACTAACATTTGTGACCACATATCAGATCACTCATAAACAAATTACTTAAACAACATGTTAAAACGGATAACAGATAAACAAAGAAAAGAACAGAAGAAATATACCACATTATAATTAGTTGATGTTGTCCAAATCCAGGTTATTGATTTGAGGTGTTGCCATAACAATGGCGAAGCCAAAATGAAAATTTATTCTTCCATCTTTGGTTACTTGACAAGATCGCAGAAAAAAGACAAAAAAATGGTTGATGCCAATAGGCCAAAATTTATTCCACGATGAAGAGAAACAAAGTGAGTTGAATGATGATATTTTTTGACATAACCGTGATTTTCCAAACCGGCTCGATAGCTCATGGAAAGGGTAGTTGACAGTGTGACCATTCTAATACGGTATAATGTGGTATGGACAAAGATCACAGGTGATAGGGAAAATAATTGTCTAATAACTAATCATGTGTGTATATACAACACTGACCCTACAGATAGACGACGCGCACTGTTTGAATATGGTTACCTGTTACCTTATACTCATGACAACTTTATTACATTACAACTTCCTCGTCAATTTTATCACATCCTGTTTGTGGTGCATAGGCACATATTACATTCAGCACTTTTTCTTCGAATATTAATTTTACGACCATAATTCTGTCACTTTTCCTAGCTACTTCTACTAGCTACTTTTAATCTCCTCATCCATTATTATCCCTACACCATTCTTTGTACTAGACTTACAATAAATAATAAAGTATATTATTATCACCGAAGTGTCAATACATTACCAACCATAAAGTCACCTCTATAGATGACCAAAGAGTACTGTCTTTCTGGCGAAATTAAGTATCTCTCTAGGTTTTAGATTTTTAATATCTTCTTTTTCAGGAAAAGGTTTATTCAAGTAGTTTGATCTTAGTGTGGATAAGGCTTCACATTCGCACATGATGTGAAATGAGTCTTCATTTTCTACTCCACACTTCCTGCACAATGGTGATTCCGATACCCCCATTGCATAAATATGTTCGAGCAGGTGACCATGTCCTGTCAGTAGACAAGTCAAGGTGCTTATTTGGTATCTAGTCATGCTATTAAGATCACCCAACAGTAGACCAGGGGTCTTGATTAACATTTTAGATTATCTAGGTACTACCAAGTACTTCTAGATTTTCGTGTGTTGTTCTCTGCACCAATTATTGGGTAGCGCTTTGAGCGATTGCTCAGTGAGTCCTACCACTGTTTCTGATCCAACATAGGTGTTCTCTGCTCCTTTCCTGGCTAGAAAGTCAACATCTCATTTCCAGTGACACCGTTGTACCTACGCTAGTATAACTTTGTTAAACCTCGATAGTGATTCTAAAGTTTCCCTGCATTCGAGGACCAGCTTTGAATTCACCTGATCGTTACAGAGTGCCTTCAAAGCCGCTTGACTATCACTTAAGATAGTTACCTTCTTATTTTTGTATACTAGTCAGTTCTGAGCCCCTACTAGTATCGCCATCACCTCTGCATGGAAAACAGAAGGTGTTGTGTCCAATGACATACTGACATTTATTCGTGGTTTCAAACCACAAATTCCAGTACTTACCTTTCCTGATTTTTTGGATCCATCTATATATATCACAAATCCTCCTTTTTCAGTCAGGTGGTTAATATTCCATTATTTACGTGTAGTGATCTCCACTTTGTAGGGAATGTTATTTTTAAGAACCGGTTTGATATAGTCAAAGAGGTATTCCAAATAGCCTTTGTCTATCTCTTTTAGTATTTAACCATGTTCTGTTGTATCACTCTCCAAAGTACACATACCTAAGTTGTGAAATCGTAGTGCTGTGGCTTTGGCGTGAGATTTAACCTCTAGATGCAGAGGAGGCAATTAGTGCCTCTAATGCGCCCGTTGGTGTAGTTCTTAATGTTCTAGTGATAGTCATGGCAGCCATTCTTTATATACGACTAAGTTCTTTTCTAGCTGAAACGAGTGCTACTCTGGTCCACCAGACTAGGGCACCTACAATATCATAGGTTTAATCACTAAAGTGTATAACCAATACATAACTCTTAGTTTAAGACCCTAAGTCTTTCCCAAGGCTCTATTGCAGGTCCACAGTATGGATTTTTGATTCTTGACTCAACATGTGATTTCTATTTTTGTTTACTATCTAAGATAGTACCTAAGTATTTTACTTCCGATTTTTCGCTAATTTCTTATTTGTTTAGAGTAATTAAGTTACTCACGCAATAAAATAAATATTACAGTTAAAATTAATTATGAAATTTAATTTTAATTGTTAAAAAAGAAAATTAACTTAAACATGAACAAATACATCAAAAATCATGTCTACGGATAAAGGCAACAAAAATAAAATAAAATATTTAAACAAATAATATTATAAACATCACGGACGGTATTGGAACACATCCGTTAATTTTAATTGGAAATTAATAAAAGCACCAGGAGCGGTCTGGACACTCGCTCCTTAGCGTTGGCTAGAAGAAAAGGGAAACACGTGCTCTCCACACATAAACAAATTTAAGTTAATTTATGATAAAATAAAATTGAAATAAAATAAGGGATCCTATGCAGCTGCATTACTTTATTTACGCTACTGTCTAACCTAAAGTAATATAATTAAGTGCAATGATAAAATTAGTATTTATATATCATGAAATATTTTAACATAAATTATTCTATAATGCTATCACCTGGATACTAAACTATTTAGTATCAATAACGTTTTATTATATAAATAATATATACTCTATTTACTAACGATATATTAGTTTATTAATATAGATGCACTTTATATTAGAAATATTATAAGTTGTAAGAAATTAAAATATTTTATTATGTTGAGAATAAATCAAAAACTATTAGATATGCCTGTAAAAACCACTGCTGGTGACTTCAGTTTGCATGATTATTATAAAAATTAGTAAGTTTACATTATATCTAATATAACGTAGCCAACAATGATAAAATAAGCATTTTATGTATCAAACCAATTTTTAAAGTGGAATACTGACATTTTATATTTTCCTTATTATTAAACTGTTGGTTATTAAAAGTGACTCTAAATAATCCTTTTTCTTATTCAAGATAATTTAGAATCTGATAAAAAGTAGAAAATGTTTGAACAAGAACTTCAACATAAAATTATTTTGATTGTATGTTTTACATTTAAAATAATTAAAATGCCTTTTTCATCTAAAGTTAATATATAGTACATAAGGATATAAGTTACATTTTTTTCGTTTCAACGGCTTTCTCCAAAAAATTGATTTTATTAGTTATAGTTTACTATCAACAAAATTAATATTTTTACATATTTGAACTAATAAAACTTATAAAACTAATTTGATAGAAACTAAAAAAGCTATATAACATATTTTAATAGTGTAAAATATTAGTATTTTATTTTATTAGCTTAAAATAATATTTAATATTGTTTTCAAAAATATACTTCCATTATTTTTCACTCGTAATACTTATAATAACATAATAAGATACCAATAAAAAAAGTGAATTATTATAATCGTTGAAATAAAATTATAATTTTGTGCAACCATTTTGTTATTGCTAAGAAAAACAATAATTTTTTTATTGCTTTTCCAAATAGTAAACTGCCAGAATTATTTTTTTCTCATGCCATTAGAGGTTGAATCATATATGATTAAAGCCTGTTTTATACTACGCGTTTTGGACGTGCGTCAAAGACATCGCTGGCGACAAACTATAGTCTGAAAACGAATTTTAGGAGCTAATAAGTCTTAAAAATTACAAGTGTCTCACAAGTTAATTAAATTTTTCTTAATATTTTTTTATGTTTTATTAAAAGTAAAAGTCAAATATGTTAGAAAGAAAATTTCAAAAAAAAAATTTTAGAGTAATGATCGCTTTAAGAAAATGAAGTATTTTTTTAATCGTTTTGGTAATCAAAAAGATCAATACTAAAAATTACACTATTTTACCCAAGTATCGATTCATAGATATTGTAAAGCTAGTATTCTAGATTTTAAAAATATACATTTTTTTTGCATATATTACAACGCATATAAATCAGTAAAAATTTTACCTGTTTCCATACCATAAATATTTAAAGAATTTACAATAATTTTTACTACTGGCAATTGCTAAAAGTATATTTCTAAATCGTTGTACTAAATTTATATCTATTCCTGCTATGTTCAAACTTCAAACCATTATTAGTTGTTGACAGTGACGTAGCATGTGCGTATGTTGTGTATGCACAGCATACACTTCGCAAATTACAAAAATAATTTTTTTTATATATTACTAATGCTATATTTTTATAAAAAAATTTTCAACTGTACTAATTTAGTATTTCATAATATAATATTTTGTGAATTTTCTTCCAAGTTCATTAATCATTAAAATTTATTAATCCGCAACACCACGGCCGCGCAGCGCTATAGTCCTTATAATATCTAGTGTCTAGTACCTACCATGTTTATTATGTACGCAGTATGCACGTTGACGAGTGCATATGGGTACAAACATTCAGCGACAGTTAATTATATTTCTTATCGATAATATTAATAACAAAACATGTTACGCTCGCGGTCATGTATTAGTCACACGTGTATGCGGGATCAGTATTGCATACGCTGTCGTTGACCGTCGTATATTGAGTTATTCTGTCGGTTTACTAAACTATTATTATAAGTGAGTGTTAACTGTATATTGTGTGGCACGTCAATAATGAATTCAAATAATACAATAATATGCGAATGTGCAATTGAAAAATTGTTTTTAAAGCCTTTCGGTTCTGTAAATTTTAATGAGAAAAAAAGTATTATTGAGATAGGAAGACCCACGCCAAAATTACCGTATTTAACGACAAAATCAAAAAATTATGTTCGATCATTTAAGTATGAGTATTATAGTACATTTAAGTGGCTATCAGGCTGTAAAAAAACTTTATTGTTGGCCTTGTATTATTTTTTCTCGTGAAAAAAATGTTTGGACTAAACACGTGTTGGAAGTTGACTTCAAATAAGTTAGACGACACAAGGTTGGTTTTCCAGGTGGCTTCGAGCCGTTTAATTAAAAAGAAAACAGCAATACAAGAGTAATAGGCTAACCAAAAATAATAATACTGAAAAATGAATTGGTGACAGATATCCGAATTGTTCGACTGTGCGTTCGGTAAGGTGGACGGCGAAACCAACGATACAGAAGTCACGAAGATGACTGACTGGACGTATTATTGCAGCGGAGTATTCGACGCTAGGCATTTGTTGGACTTTATACCACGACGATAACGCGTGTATGTAACGGTCCGGTTTACAGTGAAGCGGTGGCTGAGAAGGAGCTGACACGACCGCGGGGTGTCAAAAGGGTGACAACGCCGTGGCCGTGTCACCCGGTTTCAACGATCTCAATAACTTCACCATTTAAAAAATCGTCATAAAGCCTCTAAAAATCACATACAATGTTTAATAGATTTAACTAAATTTGGTAAAACAAGAATAGATACTTGTTTGAGTGAAGCTAACAGAAAAAATATCGAAAAACATAATGTTACAGTTAAAAATAATAGATACATATTAAGCAGTATGATATATTCAACGTGTTTTTTAGCTCAGCAAGAAATTCCATTTAGAGGCCACGACGAGTTAGATTCATCTGTTTATAGGGGTAATTATGTTTAACTTATTTATTTGATGGGCCAGCACGATGAGTTGTTAAAAACCCACCTTGAAACATCACTATATTTACTGGTTTATCTGGGGACATTCAAAATGACTTAATTCAATCAATTTCAAATGTTCTCCTCAAACAATTTCCTTATTAAAAATAGAATAATTGATTTAATATATAAGTAATTTATTAGTTGATAAGTTTATTACTTTATTCAATTTTATATAAGATGTAATTATTAAAATATAATAATTTTTAAAAAGTGATTTATTTTGTGTTTATTAAATATAATATTGAGTTTTGTTCTAGGTAATGTAATATAAATACGTAAAACTTGGTATGTTTAAAGTAAAATTTTAAAAATAGTAGGAGGGGTGTGGGGGGCGTAGCCCCCCACGATTTCATAATCTTACAATTTCAATGGATACACTAAGCTGAAACCCACGCTACGCCACTGGTTGTTGACAACATTTTTGATTTAAAGTGTCAGTCATAGAATTCACACCTATTTAATATTAAAGTAATCAATTATTATATATATATATACAGGGTGATTTTTTTATCATAACCCACTCAATTACTTACAGAATAATAATAATTAAAAAATTTTTTTTTATTATTATCTTAAGTTATACATTATTCTTGAATTATTAACTATNTTAAGTTCTACATTATTCTTGAATTATTAACTATGTCATACTTTTTAAGTTCATCCCTTATGCCTGGTAAGGGTGTCAACTTTGTTTTTTTAAATGGTAACACATATTTTTAATTTAATAAAATGTTTGAGTTTTTAATTCAATAATAAATGGCATTTGAATTTTTAATAANTTTAATAAAATGTTTGAGTTTTTAATTCAATAATAAATGGTATTTGAATTTTTAATAAAACTTAATTTGTTTATTAGATATAAACATTTAAAGTTTCAAATTTTTGAGTTAATATATAGGTATAATACACAAGGGATTACAAATACAGGTAGCTAATTGGTTTTTTATGACATCGATATTAGCAGGTACACAGCATTGTTATTTTCAATGATAGTAAGGTACATTGTTGTGAGTTTATAAATACACTAACTGTTAATACAAAAAGTATATCTATTGATAGTCATAATTGATAATAAACAATCCGTGACTGGGATAGCAATATCATAAAAAACCAATAATGGGAAAATAAAACTTCGCCCTATTACAAAAAGTTTAAGGTATAATAATTGTCGTAACCAAAACACAACTTTACCGAGGCGTTCGGCTAATTTAACGGGGCCCCATCACTTCGGCCAAAAACCCGCACAAAATTGTTTGTTTGCGTTCAATAGGCGATGCACATTGCAGTACACAACGTCGCCGACCGCGTATTTTATTTTGACGTGACTGGGCGGCGGTATTTTGTTTGTGTTGGTGATTTGTCGTTCGCACTCTAAACGGTGGTCATTAATAGCAACGGATGCTACCTGTTGTAACCGCTGAAGTAGCCAGTCACCCGGTTTCTTACCTTCTCTACCTAATACAAGTACGGACAGCGTTTATCCAGTCGTCTCGTTACGCCTATTGTATAGGGCTAACAACAAAGGTAGCTTTGTATCCCAAGATGTGTGACTCGACTCAATTAATGGAGCACAACGGTTAAAAAAAGGTAGGGAACTCTTGGTTTTTACGTTCTACTGGGTTAGCACGTGAGTGGTATATAGGTATTCTTAACAGCTGGCACGACCGCGGAATGTCGCACGGGTGACAACGACGTGGCCGTGTCAACACAAAGCACTGGATTCGTGAGACCACGATGGTCAATTTCTTTGGGTTTAAATAATAATTCGGACGTTTGCTAATTTTGCTATAAATATTATCATCAATTCATCATTCTCTAGAAGCAGATGCGCTATTTGTGTTTTATTATAATAATTTTCTTCCATAATGGTAATGTGACGCCATCACATAATAAAGATTTATACATATACTAGTAGTATCAATTGACTCAAACATATCATAAACAGTGGTTAAATTAGGAAAAACTACGAAGAGGGACTATAGTTCCTAAAAAATAAGGAGCCATGCCGAATCGTCTAATATAATATTGTAATAAATATTAAAATTTGTCATTAATTATATTTTAGATTATTATTAAAAAAATGTAAATAAATAATATTATTATAATTGAATGATATAGAAATACTAGAATAATTTAAATTATACTGATTATTAAAAACCCAGCACAGTGGGGTCGTGGCATAGTTTGGTCCAGTATAGATGATATCTGACAGTGATTAA